TGTTGTACCGCCGTCTGTTTGATTTGCGGTTTTTTCCATGAGCGAGCGTATTCATTCTAATGGTATCTTCAGGTAAATGAAATATGAATAATTGCAATTTAGGACTGTGTATGGACTTTCATATCAAGTACCAAACTTGTGACTGCATATCAAATAATCAGCTATTTTCATTATTAAAATATTTACAAAGTAATTTTGGTCGTATTGTTAGTCTTCAATCATAAATGTGGTTCACTTATTACATTACAACTTTAATTTGAATGGCTATATATGGTGAATGGGTTGTTTCAAAGTTATAAAGTAGTATCTTCAGTACAGAATTAAACGGTGATAATTGGTACGACCTATTGCGGGTGTTTTTTTCTACTTTTCAATGAAACAACTTAAACACGTTTGTTTGAGGTTGATATTCCACATAATGCTCATGACACTTTTAAGACAGATAAATAAACTATTCGTTAGGTAAGTTCTGGCCACCATCCGTTGGTCCTTTCTATCTATATCTTGTCATTCACGTAGTTATTGTGCTCAGTTTTAAAAAATAAGATCATATTCCCAACATCAAGTTTTTAATCAGCTCTGCGACTGAAATTACCAAACACTCCTTGGTCATCTGATATACGTTTCATGAAAAAATACAAGTGCTTCTAACTCAAAATAAACACACAACAATTGAGTAAAACGACAACCTGAGTAGCCCAGTAATACCCAAGTAATCGAATCTCCTGAAAAATCATATTGGTAGTGAACTTCAGCACACCAGCTCAAATGAACCATGGTACTGTTCTGAACAATTCAATATGGCTACCGTCAAATTACTAATAAATCTGATTACAACTGCATGTCGTATCACAAACACCAAGATTTGCAAATTCCATGGCATTGTAATGGAAGCACATCTGACAAAAAAAAATAGTTTAATCTTATGGAATCTTATCCCAAACCAATGTGAGACTTTAAAACGAAATTGTTCAAAGGCCGGAATTAGTTTTAAAACATGAAAACTAGAAGTTATTTCCATAGCAAAGGTACTAGGTCTTAGTTTGTATTATCCCTTGTAAGGGGGAGCACAGTACTTTTACATCACTGCATCTCTTTCCAATGACAAAAGTGAATAAGAGAAGTCTAGTACAAAATGTCCTCCAACCTTGTGCTTCATTTTCTACCAATGTCAATTCTGTTCCCAAGCTTTGCATGTCGAGTGATAAAATGGATGAAATGTTCACTCCCAAAAACTTCAAGTAATGATGTAGCTGTTTTATATGTGAAT